GTGGGCTGGCTGCATCTCGGCTTGCTGCGATGGGCTAACCCGCACGAGGGCCTGCTCCGGTCACCTCCCTTCCCCATGGTGCCTGCGTCCTGCTCCTGTTACTTGCCTGTAGAGAGCAGGGTAGAGTTGCACCTTATAGACTAACCTAACGGTGTGCCTAGGGCTCTAGCACAGGCTTCGTGAGCTGCAGCTCCCTTTGTTGTGTGCCGTGAGAGGACGTGCAGAAAGCAGCGTGGGGGGAAGAGGTCCCTGCTACACGTTACATGCATTACACAAGTACCTGCTGAATCACAATAAATGTAGACGGCCGCGCTGCAAAGTAATGATCACAGGCTAAAAAAGACTGTCCAGCTACAAGAAGAGCCAGCCAGCTGTAAAGTTAGTGCTTGACAGTGAGTAACAACTCCACAGCTGGTTTCTAGCTAGCTTGGTGCAGCAGGGCCCTTCCGATCCTGGCTTATCTGGCCCTGTAGCACGGGCTGTTAGCCTTTAACTGGGAAATCCCCCTTCCGCCTGCCCTTCGCTCCGCTGCGCAGTGGCCGCCCGCCCCGCAGCCCCTTTGTCTGTGTGCGGCCGATAACCCCTGGAGAAGGGTCAGCCAGGGGGGCTGGCACCGGGGCCAGGACGTGCCTGCTGCGTGCAAAGCCGAGCTGAGCCCAGGGCCGGGGAGTGCTGTGCCGGGGCGCAGGCACGGCCACGCAGCAGGAAGCGGGGCAGCGCCGTTGTGGCCTTGACCTCGGTGCGGCGGCAGAGCACGCAGGGGCTCCAGGAGGGCCCAGAGGAGCTGTGTCCTGGGTGGCGGTGTGGAGCTGTTGTGCAAGCCTGACTCATGCCAGTGCCCGTCTGCTCCCATGAGCTTCCCCACTGTGCACACGGGGCCCTGGGTCACGCGTGAGCTCGGTGCCGAGGCCTGGATCCTTGCGATTAGCTGGTGAGAGCGGGGATCCAGCCGGCAGCTCCCCTCGCACTGCCAGCCCCAATGTGTGGGCAGGGCAGATAAGGCACGGGGAGCCTGCCAGCTGAAAGGGCAGCTGTGCATGGAGCTGTGCATGGAGCCCGGGGTTTTCCATGCAGCTCTGCTCCTCCCCTGGGTGCTGGGGTCTCCCTCAGGAGTCAAGGACGCTGCGGGAGACAGGCTGCAAAAAGGGGCAAGTGCTGCGGGCGGGTCCCATAGGTGCATGGAGCCACCCAGGCGTGCAGGAGGGCGCCTGCCCACTACTCTCCTCCAAGCTACAGCTGCCGCAGGGGCTGGACCCGGCCGCACCCCCGGGTTGCAGCTGCGAGTGCCAGTGCGCACGAGTCCGGGGCGCTTGCACATGCCCGGCCTGTCCAGGCCTGTGCCCATCCCCAGCCCCGCACCGCGCCCTCCGTCGCGGTCTCGCCCCAACCGGCTGCCGGTCCCCTGCTAGCCCAGCTCCGTCTGGCCCGAGGCGGGGGCCGCCCCGCTGCAGTCGCTTCCTCCTTCTCCGGCTGTTTGTTGGAAGCTTCCAGGAAGGCGACCGGCTCCTCCGTGAGCGTCCCCCCAGGCCTGGCGCAGCCTCCCTGGGGCCCTGCTCCTGAGCTGGTTGGTGGCAGGGGCCCCGGTCCTGGGCACACACCTGACCCCGTGGGTGTTGTGCTGCCTCGAGCTTGCCCCACTCGCTCCCCAGGGATTCGTTTTCCTTCTCCGGCTGTTTGTTGGAAGCTTCCAGGAAGGCGACCGGCTCCTCCGTGAGCGTCCCCCCAGGCCTGGCGCAGCCTCCCTGGGGCCCTGCTCCTGAGCTGGTTGGTGGCAGGGGCCCCGGTCCTGGGCACACACCTGACCCCGTGGGTGTTGTGCTGCCTCGAGCTTGCCCCACTCGCTCCCCAGGGATTCGTTTTGGGAGGGCAGGCACCTGCCTTTCATCCGCTGGAGCCTGACGCCAGCCGGGCACCGGCAGTGAGCGGAGCTGAGCTGAGCTGGGGATGCCAGCGGGACCGGCCCCGCTCCAGCCACAGCCACGGAGCAAGCACCGGGGCAGCCGCGGGGCCCGGCTGGGTTGGGCTCCAGCTCCCCCCACCCTTGCGGGGGGCAGTGCAGCCGGCATCCCGACTCCCACCCTGCAGGCCCTGCCACCGCCTCCCCGTCTGGCCTTGGCTGAGTCACTGGATTGCTCTGATTTTGGGGGGGGTGGGGGGTTGAGCCCCAGCCCAGCCCCTCGGTGCTGCAGCCATGTGCCAGTGCTGCCCTTGGCTGCGGTGCCGGCATGGGCCAGGGGCCAGCAGGGATGTGCCCAGCAGGGATGGTCGCTGCTTTGCACCTGAGCCTGGCACGGGGGTGGAGGGGGCACCCCAAATACCACCCCGTCACCTTTTGCAGGTGTCTGCCACCCACACTCTCCAAACATCCCCCCAACACACACCCCTCCCAGACTCCCCCTGCCCCGAAACACCCACCCACCCATCCCATCCCACCCCAAATACCTGCTAACAACCCCCGCAAACACACAAGCGTGTGCACACACTATTCTGCCTGCCCCCCAGCCTCTGAACCACCCCTCCACAAACACACACCTACATCTCAGCACACTGCCCCCCCAACACCCCCATGCCCATGTCCACGGGCTGCCTGCCCTACCCTGCACCCAGCTCGGTGCTCACGTGGGCGTGGGCCTGGCCCTGCCCCCAGCTGGTGCCTGAAGCCCGGCTCCTGGGCCACGTTTGCAGGGCGCTGGCGTGGCTCCGCTCCGGGGTCACACGAGGCTCAGCGACGTGCAGCATGGCAGGCCTCTGGGGCACACCAGCCTGTCTGGTGGGTGCACCGGGTCAGTGTCACCACCCGGCAGCTCAGGACTGGCCTGCCACACTCAGCACCTGCTGGGCTGGGGCTCTGGGCAAGCTGGGACCCCCCCTGCCCGCACGTTCACCCTAGACACTTGCTGCACCACACAGGCAGGCAGCCGGTGGGGGCTTTCCCCAGCAGGGCTCAGTGCCCTGGAGCTGCGCTGGGCCAGGCTGCAAGCCTTGGCACTCCCCGAGATGCTCGTGCGATGCAGGCTATGGGGGGGGAGCGGTCGCCCCTCACTCCACTGAGGTGAGCCCTGCTCTGATTTCTGCCCCCCCCCTCCCTTGGGCTGAGCCTCGGGCAGGGGCGCTGGGGTGCCTGAGCTGGAAGGGGCAGGGGCTGAGCCGCAGCTAGCAGCCCCCACCGCTTGCTGGGCTGTAGCCCCCCCCCCAGCGCAGTCTCAGCCTGGATGCGGGCTCCCCTGGGCTGGCCCCAGCCGCGCCGGAGCTCCTTTGTCTGCCCGGCTGCGCTGTTTACTCTGCTGCCTCCGCTTCCTTCCTCCCTGGCTCTCGCGCACAGCCCTGCCTGGCTGCCGCCGCCCCACCAGGCACCTGCCAAGGCTGCTGGGCTGGAGCAGGGCCCTGGCTGCAGCCCAAGAGGCTCCCTGGGCAGTGTGGGAGCCAGGTGTCCCGGGGGGCCTGTAGGGTCAAGTGTCCCACCTCCGTGGCCTCCTCTCCCCAGGCAGGAAAGCCTCCAGCCAGGCAGGGCCTTGGTCCTGGGAGAGGCCCCTGGGAGCCTGGGGCAGGAGCAGTGCAGGGAGCAGGCACGAGGGGTCAGCGGGGGCCGGCCAGAGACCCCAAGCGTAAAGACCTGCAGCGCCGGGGCAGCCCGGATACTCCTGTGCAGCAGCGGGGAGACCACCGGGCTGTCGCTTGCCCCTGCAACCGCCTTCCAGCACCGAGAGGGATGAGATGGGCTCAGGCGACCCTGCTCTGCCCCAGGGCACGGGGAGGACAGACCAGCCGCTGGGGCATCTCGCCAGGCCTGTTCTGCAGCCTCTCCCCGCTCCTGTTTGCTTCCCTGGAGCCAGGCAGGAGCCTTGTTCATCCCTTCCTCCTGGGACGGCTCCTGCAGCCCCTTGCAGCAGCGCAGGGCTAGCATAACGCGTCTGGACCGGCTGGGAGCTCCGCGACCTTCATCGCTGCTGCTCTCAGCGCATCCGCCAGCGACAAGCAGCCACAGCCCACTTCAGCCGGGCCCAGCTGCAAGTCTGCGGTGAGCACGGAGCTCACAGCCAGGTGCTGGGGCCTGGTGCCCCACTGGAAGCTGCCAGCCACAGGCACTGCACGTGCACAGCCCAGTGCACCTGCCCGCAGCCAGGGAGGAGGGGAGCAAGGGTTCCCGCAGGTGCTGCTGCATGCACCCGAGCAGGGGGAGCTGGGTCCGGCGAGGTGCCGGGACACCGCCTCGCTCCGTGCATCTGTGAAACTGCACCCAGGCAGCAGGGACCCAGCCTCCTCCTCTACTGCTGCTGCTGAAGAGCAGGGGTGCTCTATCCCACCCCTCGCCCGAGGACGCACGCCTCTCTGCTTGCATAAATCCACAAGCAGGGCTGTACCGCGAGTGCCCAGGAACCAGAAAGGAGAACGCCAGTTCGAAGGCAGAGGGAAGAGGCCGGGACCCGGTGCTGCTGGCATAGGGGGACCCTGCACGCAGGGTCCGGGACGTCCAGGCCAAGGGGTGTGCAGAATTCCCCGCACCGGCCTTAGCCATCGCAGCAGAGAGGGCAGGCCGTCTTCCCTAGCCTCCCACCCAAGGACCGGGCCGGCACATTGTTCAAACCAGGGATCTTTATTGATGCAGCGGCAGCTCTTACACAGGGCTGCCGCCTCGCTCTACGTACAGGCTGCAGAGACACGCGATACAGCAAGTTTTAGTAAAATACAAACCTGTCCCTACAAAAAAAGGAGGAGTTAGTCCTGATTACAACAGGATGAGTACATGCTGGCTCCCTGCCCCAGAGCCTTCCAGGAGCGCGACAGCCGAGGATTCGGTGAGAGACCATCCCGCGAGTTTGTAGACAATGGATCATTAAAAACGCAACATTTTTTCCCGTCATTTACAAATAGGCAAAGTTTCAGATTACATACAATTAAGAAGCATTTTGCTTACTAACATGAAACATTACAGCTGCTGTAATGCATCATCATCAACCAGGCGTACAGGGTTTGTGTCCTTGCGGCTGCCCCAGCACACGGTGCCGAGCGGACTAGCCCAGCCCTTGCCAAACCCGAGAGGGAAGAGCCAGGAGACACGACAGGCCCCGCGGCTCTGCTCTCCCACGGGCTGGCGGCTAGGAACGGCCTTCATTTAAGCCACAAGACGGACGTAATTAAAAAATCCAACGCACAGATACAATGTGTATCAACAAATCAACTGCCTCTGGCCTGGGTGCGAGGGAAAACTTCCCTTCGCGCCCCAGAACAGCCCAACGCTGGGACCAGAAACAATTGCTACAGTATGTGTTCTTGAATATCCTTAAACGGTTTAGATACAGTATGCACAAGTCAAAATAAAGATAGAAAATCCCCCACAAACAGGCCGGGGGGGTCATTCACTGCCCACAAGGGCTAAACCGCGGCTTGCAGGGGGCCGCGGGGAACCAGAGGGCTCTGGCGGGGCAGGGGAAAGATGTGGAGGAAAGGAGAAGAGAGAAACGTGGAGACAAGCCTTGAACACTGCCAAGAGGCCGGGGGAGTCACGGAGCGGCACATGCGGGACTCGTGACCACACGCCTTCCTTTCTACCAGGCGCTCGCACGAGGGAAGGGAAGGGACCCACGTCCCGGCCCTCTGCTCTGCCACGCGGCCAGGCTGGAAGAGCTGCCACGGCCTGCCCTTCCGCGAGTTTGTGTGTGGAGCACGTGGGTTTTTGGTGCGGGGAGGCAAGAGGTCGGCCAGGCGACTCCAAGCCCAGGGTCCCCGGGAGCTCTGGTGCGGTGCCGGGACTCGAGGCAAGTGCGTATCCTGGCAGCGGGACGATTAGGTCCTGCAACCGGGCGAGCATTGCTGCTACGCTCTGGAAAGCGACCCCGCCGGGCAGGCGCCTGGCGTGGGTAGGGCACAGGTGGGGGAGCTGGCAAAACAAGCTTGTGAAACCAAACGGGGGCAGAGCCAGCTACGGGAAGGCAGCGTCTTATGAGCAAGTTGGCGTGACTAAAGGGAGCTGAAGTTACGGACCAGGGGGCTAGCGTTCCCCACGCGTTCAAAGTCGAGCTGAGCGGTGGTGCCAAGCCCCAGGCTTGGTCAGAAAGCAGGTGACCCTCGTGCCGCCTTTCCCCAAGAGATGCCAGCGACGGGGACGCGCGCTGCCAGAGGCAGCCGCCCCACTCGCTCGAGTTTAAACCAGCGGCTCGCACCCTCCCGGCTCCCCGACGGCCCTGCAGGATGCCGGGAGCCCCTCACAGGCCTGGGTTCTGGGACTTGTAGGTTATGATCTCGGCCGCCAGTCTCTGGGGATCCAGCAGCTGCGGGAACCGGTTCATGACCGCGTCCACGAGGTGGGGGTGGAAGATGCCGCAGAGTTTCACGTGCACGTTGGCCCGCTCCTTGGCGAACTGCTCCGACAAAGCCCACGGGCAGGGGTCGCTGTAGGTCGGGCCCGGGGCTCTTTGCAAGGGGCGGGGGTCTTGCGTGCTGCTGGCGCGTGCAGAAGGAGGGGGCAGCGGGTACGGCTCAGACCAGTACTCACGGGGGTGGAGAGGTGCTGGCGGGCCGTTGTACTCGCTCGGGAGGCTATACTGCCCGGCGCTGGCGGGGTGCACAGGCATGCCGTAGCCCGAGAAGGCACGGGAGGGCCTGGCGTGGGACATCTCCGCGCTGTACGGCATGTAGCTGGCCCCAGAGCAAGCCGAGGAGACGGCTTTGTGAGAGCCAGGCTTGTAGAGGCTGTCGGGCTCCAGGCCGGGCGAGGGCTGGTACAGGGATCTCGGCTGCCCGCAGCTGCAGCTGCAGACGGCCACCTGGTCGGGGGGGCAATGCTCGCAGTGGCTGGCGGATCGGCAAGGCCACATCCCGGACAACTGGTTCTCCAGGGAGCAGAAGCCCGAGTCGAGGGGCTCCTGAGACATGCAGGAGAGAGAGTCCATGTGGGGAGAGGAGGCAGGGTGCTGGGGCCATTCGGCAGATCTATGGCCACTGCTGTGAGGCGGGGCGAGCCCTGGGGCACAGCCCTTCCCCGGGAGCGGATCGTCACCTGGCTTGGCCTTCTGGGCTGCTCCTTTCCTCTCGGCCGAGGCTCTCTGCATGCAGCTGGGGTCCATGTCTGTGGAGGCAGGACACAGCAGCTCTGCCTGCCCAGCTCTCTTGCCCTTCTTCTCCTCCTTGGCAGGGCTGGTGGTGCTGGAGGCACTTCGGGTGGGGGACAGCTTGGCGTTGGCCCGAAGCTCGTCCGCAAGCGAGCGCTGGGGCTGGTTGATCCTCTCGGGGTGGTAGAACTTGCACTTGATGCCGTAGGTGCATTTCTTCCCTGCAAGGAGAGGGCAGAGCCTGGCATAAGACGCAGCCCGGGACCCCAGGGGCAGCCGCCTCCCGCACATGCTGGGCCTTACCATAAGGGCACTGCTGCTTCTTGTGCTCTGGGACCACAGGCTTCTTCCTCAGGAAGTTATCCAGGCTGGGGCCGTGCCGCCCCAGAGGGTCGTCTGGGGGCATAAACCTGGAGAAGGACAATACGCTTGAATCAGGACAAGCCACCTTGGGTCTAGAGCCCTTCACACCTCAGCTACAAGGCACCCCTGGGCCAGACCCCGACCCCTCCCAGGGCAACAGGTCGACAGAGCCAGGAAGGAGGAGAATGGGAGCGGAGGAAGACGGGTGCGTGGGCCAGCCTGGCGAGGCAGCAGGGCCAGGGCAGGTGGTCTCCACCACACCCTGGCCACCATCTGCCATCGCCGGAGGAGGAGGGGAAGCAAGGGCTCAGGGCCAGGCCGGCACGGGCACAGGCTCGGGCCCCTCCCGCAGGAGGCGACGGGCGGCGGTGGCTC